TACCACCCAAAATGTGTTTTTAGCAGGAGATGATGGTTCATCTGAATTGCTAGATTCTTACGTAATGCTTTGATTTTTTTTAAAGTGACAGTTAACTGACTCTTGTACAAGAATAAAACCACTACGTACAAAATTCTAAAGCTATTTCACATGAAAATGCCTTTAAACTCATTTTAAGCAAGACCAATATCTTGGTTAATTATAGATCAAAAGAAAGGGGCATTTCACAGCATGGTGAGAAGAGAGGGGTAGCCCTCTTGGCTGTACCAATCCCAGGGGCCAGAGCCAGAGAAGGAAGTAGAAGATCCAAAAGAACCATGGAACCCGGCCCAGCTAACTCATCACCTTCATAGTTAGGCCAACTATTCAACTAATACTGAAGTTGTGGCCACACAGTCAAAGCACAGAAGTAAACCCAGTGCCAGGAAGGCAAAATCATTACTGCCTGCAACAGCAATACAGCAACAGTTTGGTGGAAGAGCTGCTAGAGATGGATCTGTGTTTTGATGATCCACCAGACTATCCTGCTGTTGGTCTTGCCTCAGAACAGAGGAATCACCATGATTGCCAGATCTGCCTGTGAGGGACATGGTTTCAGCTGGCACATATTCTTATAGTAGTTAAAAAGCAGCCCTGGTAACACCCATTGCTTTACCAGTCATCTCTGATCAACAGCTATGATCAGTCTCTGGAGGGTATAGTGCTCTGCTCAGATTTCCTACCCAGCCTTTTGGGGATCTTTCAATCAGATAATGAGCACTAGCTAGAACAACCAGCAGAGCTCTTACATATGACACATAAATCTCACACTGAGTCTTCTGTGACTGCTGCAGATCAAAAGTGTTGGCTAACAAAATCGGCACTGCAATCAGACATGTTAATTAATTACTCCAGTTTAATTCACAGGAGTAATTAATTACTTAACACTTATCTAATTAGCCAATACCTCTGGCTATGGCAGATGAAAGTAAATGCCAAATGGGAGCTCTGGTCCATCCAATCAATACATATTTAAAAATGATTGCATGTAACAACACACTATGAGGAATTGGTTCTAGGCAGCAGCAACACCGTCGCCACCACCATTCCCCTCACCTTTAGTTTCTTTTTTTCCCATGTTCCTAAAAGAGTTCATCTGTTGGAAAAGTCAGTGCACCAACATCTCAAATAGATCCAAGTGCTGTCAATATTTCTTTCTTTGAGAGTTGTTCCTCTAATAAATGTCCTATAGAAGCGTCATGGTATTTTGCAATGTAACTCATTACAAGCAATTTCTTAATAGATAGCAAGCCAGCTACTCCCATCAATTATAGTGTTTTTTAAAAGTTTGTCAGAAAATCTTTTAAAACATAAATAGCCAAAATCAGCTGCAGATTGGTACAGAATGTTTCTTGTGTTAATCTCAATGCACCATTAGATTAATCTCTCCTAAACCAGCATAGGTTTGCTCGTGCTAATTTGGGAATAATTTCTCCCTTTACACCTTTCTGAATGATTTGAGATGTTCATTTCACTTCCTCCTCTCCTGGGAGAATTAGATTATGGAAGCAGGCTGAAGTAAACATTTTATAACAGATCTTAGTTTTGGGAGACTTACTCAGGTGACTCTAATATGGATGAAGTCAGGAGCTGCAATTTTAGGCAGTTATTGGAGCCAAGCCTCAAACTGCTCTAGGGTCTCAGTCAGGGGCAGCCCGTGGATGTAGGCAACCTCGGCAGTTGCCTAGGGCGCTGCGTTTAACACGGTGCCCAATGATGACGTCATGCCATTGAGGGCTATGGAGGAGGGGGCACCAATCGCACATTCCACCTAGGGCACCAGTTGCCAGCAGCTCTCCTCGAGCCATTCCTGGTCTCAGTCTTGTAACATTCACTCTTGAGAGAGATCTCCATGAAGGAATGACAATTAACTATGGGTGACCGAATCATTCCCTAGACTATAAACCCTTTGAAGCAAGGACTGTCTTTTTGTTGTGTTAGTACAGTCCCTAGCACAGTGGGGATGTTGCCCATGAGTAGAGCCATTAGGTGCTAGCACAACCCAAATAAAGATGTTTTCTAGTCACAAAATTCAACCAGTTGAATCTGGCTAGTTCCACAGCCAGAGAACCTAATAAGAGGAAATTCTTGTTCCCATTGCCCCAGAAATGCCAATTTCATACCAGACTTCTATTTACATTTGTGTCCCAAGCAACTGACCTCCATTAGCAAATAGTTGAAATGTTTCTTTTCAACTTAACCAAAATTCTGTTTCAAGTTTCTTTCCAAACAAACTTTCTTCAAATAAAAGCATTTCTGATCAATGTTTTGCTATCCAAACATGTCTGACAGAACTCTAGTTTGCATAAATCCTTGTGATCCAAAACCATCAAGGTTCTCCTGGATCTGACTGTCAAATGTACCTTATAAGCATTTTCAACAGAAACCTCTGGAGTTATGAAAATAGGCAATATGTAGTGTCAGAACCAGGGACCCTGATCAAAGAATAAGTACATCAACAGCAGGAGGTTAGCTAGGCCTTGCCCTTCTGTTACCTCAGCATAATGATGAGTGGTAAGTTAAAGTTAGAAATGACACTCCTTCAAAAATAGTCAATCTAAGGCCTTACCATAATAAAAGAAGGTGAGTTAAGGGGAGAAGTGACACTCCCTCAGAAGTAAACAATCCTGTAATACTGACCTGATGATAATTTACTGAAACAAATAGCAGTTCATCTACAGAAAGAGGAATATTTTGCATTTGATTGGTTGAATAGAAAATAGAAGAGAAAGTTATATTGTTGTTCTTGGAAATAACACTGGACCTGCCAAGCACCTGCCAAGCTGACCTGCCAAGCTTCTTCAAATATTCATATTAGATACCATAAATTAGCAGCTGAAGCAACAGAAGTGCACTGTACTTGTGTAAACCAAGGAGTGTTTTTCTGAAGCAGGGGAAGTTGTAACATCCTTTTTAGCTGACTCCAGTAAACCCATTATGACTGAGAGGAAAGGTTATGCTGGGTGAGTTCTGAATTTGTTTTGATAAGATAACTAAAATAAAGCCTAAAAAACAGTTTTTATTTTAAACACTGAACTACACTGCTGTTTAATCCTCTTGCATCTATTATACGATTGGTAAAGGAATGCAAACAAGAAGACTTTTTATAAATACATTAGAAGCAAGAGGAAGACCAAGGACAGGTTAGGCCCACTGGTCAGTGAGGAGGGAGATACAGTAACAGGAAACTTGGAAATGGCAGAGATGCTTAATGACTTCTTTGTTTTGGTCTTCACCAAGCAGTCTGAAGGAATGCCTAACAGTGAATGCTAGTGAGAAGGGGGTAGGTTTAGAAGATACAATAAAAAAAGAACAAGTTAAAAATTACATAGAAAAAAGTTAGATGCCTGCAAGTCACCAGGGCCTGATGAAATGCATCCTAGAATACTCAAGGAGCTGATAGAGGAGGTAGCTGAGCCTCTAGCTATCATCTTTGGAAAATCATGGGAGACAGGAGAGATTCCAGAAGACTGGATAAGGGCAAATTTAGTGCCCATTTATAAAAAGGGAAATAAGAACAACCCAGGAAACTACAGACCAGTTAGTTTAATTTCTGTGTCAGGAAAGATAATGGAGCAAGTAATTAAGAAAATCATCTGTAAACACTTGGAAGGTGGCAAGGTGATAGGGAACAGCCAGCAAATCATAGAATACTAGGACTGGAAGGGACCTCGAGAGATCATCAAGTCTAGTCCCCTGCCCTCGTGGCAGGACCAAATACTGTGTAGACCATCCCTGATAGACATTTATCTAACCTACTCTTAAACATCTCTAGAGATGGGGATTCCACAATCTCCCTGGGCACTTTATTCCAGTGTTTGACTACCCTGACAGTTAGGAACTTTTTCCTAATGTCCAACCTAAACCTCCCTTGCTGCAGTTTAAGCCCATTGCTTCTTGTTCTATCCTCAGAGGCCAAGATGAACAAGTTTTCTCCCTCCTCCTTATGACACCCTTTTAAATACCTGAAAACTGCTATCGTGTCTCTCCCCCTCCCCCCCCCCTCTTCTCTTTTCTAAACTAAACAAACCCAATTCTTTCAAAAGCGGCGAGGAGTCCTGTGGCACCTTATAGACTAACCGAAGTGTTGGAGCATAAGCTTTTGTGGACAAAGACCCACTTCATCATATGCATGTAGTGGAAATTTCCAGAGGCAGGTATAAATATGCAGGCCAGAATCAGGCTGGAGATGACGAGGTGGATCCAATCAGGAAGGATGAGGGACCCTCCAGATCAGCTACTAGAAGTGGGCCTCATCCTCCCTGATTAGATCCACCTCATCATCTCCAGCCTGATTCTGGCCTGCATATTTATACCTGCCTCTGGAAATTTCCACTACATGCATATGATGAAGTGGGTCTTTGTCCACAAAAGCTTATGCTCCAACACTTCGGTTAGTCTATAAGGTGCCACAGGACTCCTCGCCGCTTTTGAAAGAATTGGGTTTGTTTAGTTTAGAAAAGAGAAGAGGGGGGGGGGAGGGGGAGAGACACGATAGCAGTTTTCAGGTATTTAAAAGGGTGTCATAAGGAGGAGGGAGAAAACTTGTTCATCTTGGCCTCTGAGGATAGAACAAGAAGCAATGGGCTTAAACTGCAGCAAGGGAGGTTTAGGTTGGACATTAGGAAAAAGTTCCTAACTGTCAGGGTAGTCAAACACTGGAATAAATTGCCCAGGGAGATTGTGGAATCTCCATCTGTGGAGATATTTAAGAGTAGGTTAGATAAATGTCTATCAGGGAGGGTCTAGACAGTAATGAGTCCTGCCATGAGGGCAGGGGACTGGACTGGATGACTTCGAGGTCCCTTCCAGTCCTAGTATTCTATGATTCTATCATTGTCTTATGATCTCACTTTAATTTAAATGCAGTTTATTTCACAGTCATTTATCAAGATGTTTGGACAATATGAAAAAAACCAATATGAATATGTTGTAAGATTTCAGCAAATTCCTGTATGTAGGATAATCCATTCATTCTGGGAGAATAGTATTAAGAAAGTATTACTGTTCTTCCCATTGCTAAGGTTAGTGAAGAATATTGAGTTTTTGCTGAACTTTGTGGTGATAGCAGTTACCAAATATTCAAGGTTTCTAGTGACTGTGTAATAGCTGCAAAAATGGTTAACATTACATTAAACATTTCAAGAGACATGACTTTTGTGAGACCTAGAACGGTAAGATTTTCCTTAAAAATCACAGCCAGAGACTATGGTGGTAATGCTGGAATGTGGAAATGCTGGCTCTCTTTACTAAGTTTCTAACAGGAGCCTGGGATAGCCAGATGCTTAGAACCTAAGAAGGGACCCAGCAACATAGCATTGGCAGCAAACAATAGGCAGATGCTGGCACTGCAGCTAATTCAGAATTAAATAAAAGGGCAAGTGGAATTAGTGGAGAAGAAGTTGGATATAAATTCCAAATCCAGATGGGTGTTTGGAAAGACAAACCCAGGAAACAATTTATTTGGCACCAATGCAGAATGCAAGCACTTTAAAGCCTTGCCTCCCATACTCCCTTTGTTTTCCTACCTATATAAAACTGTTGGTTCTTTCTTTGTTGCTCCTGTATTGCCTGATGTTTGCACTGCTTCTTCCTGAGAAGCTTCTCTCAGTTCTGACAATGAGATTTTTAAGATCTTCTAACGCTGCCTCTCCTCTTGTTTCTCTGTCTCCCTACTTCTTTTATGCTCTCACAAGTTTTCGCTCTCTTCTTCCTCTGTAGTCTGTCTGTCCCTACACTTACACCTCTCCATCCACTGTATGACCTGTCCCCTTGTCCTTTAATTCCACCACCAGTGATATCCTATTACCCTCTTTCCTTATTTACCTCTTCACTCCAACCCCTACAAAACCTCCCTATACTCTCTCCTTGTGCCTCATCTGTCCCTTTTGGGGGAATTCTATCCTCTTCTTTCCCTTCTGGCTTTGCATTATTCTGGGAAGGAGCCTAAGCAGCCCTCTCCATTCCTACCAGCGTAGTGGTTTGCTCATGAGAAATAATCTCTTCGGTGAGCTGCTTTGCAGTCACCCCACTCTACACTTCACAGGTGGTGGTACCAGACCCCACTCTCCATGTCTGATACCTGTAACAGCCCATTTCAGTCACATGACCAATAGCAGAGGCAAAATTACATTAAAAATGTTGAGGAAAGGAGTGTGAAGGTGCTCTAGTGCTGCAGCAAGGATTCAAAAACTGAATGGGAAGAGGACAAGCTGTTACCCTCCCCAGTGCTTGGGCCTTTGACACATAGCCCTGATGGCACAAGCATAACATTCTAACAAAGAAGCTAAGTTTCCAAGAGAACACTCTGATAATGTCTCGTGTCATGAATTCCCTTCTCAGTTTGATCTGAGTTGTCCATAAAACCTCTCAAAACTTTTTTTCAGAAATGGGCTTATTTGTGTTAAAAAGCCTCATTTGGATTCAATGGATGAAGATACTCTATCACTTAAATTTAGGAACTAAAACACACAACCTACCAGTGATGTTTCGTGATGTGAAGGTAAACAAAAAAGTTACAACTTCTCATTTTCTTCATACTCACCTTTCTTCAAACATTTCTTACTATTACCTTTATCTAGTATCTTCTTAGCCCTACTACGAAGATAAGTTAAACTTCCCAGAAGCCAATGCCATTCTGTGAAGCAACTTACTTAAACTGAGCTGCAGATAGTAGAGAGTACCCTTCTTTTTTAAAATAAAATATGCAGAATCAAAAACTAAACTGATCACAGATATAATGAGGAAAAATCCTCCCTGGCAGAGTTCCACTGACTTCAGAACTGAACGAGTACTCTGACTTCAAAGGATGAATTTGGCTCATGGTGTCTATGATAGCAGTCATTCCAATTCTATGTATTTTATAACTGAGGGAAGAAGGATGAGCTCCATTGCTGCATCAGCAGCACGGATTCCAAATTACTTCAGAGAATGGCTTAGGCCTCAATTTCTTAAGGCATTTCTACTCACCCCAACAACCCAAAGATAAGATGTTACACAGAGAAGTAGTCAGGCAAAGATTCTTCCTGCCCCAAATCTAAGATGTTCTGAAGTTCATCATATGGTCAGAAACCCAAACAGAAAGTTTTTTTTGAATAAAACCCACCTCAGTTTAGTAAAACCTAGTTTCCAATCTGCCATGGCATCAGTGGAGTTACACAGAGGAGGAATATTTGGCCTGGAGTATCCGGACCTCATCTATTTGAGACAAATGGCATAAGACTTCATGTTTCTGATAGAGATCGGAGGTCAAAATACATCTCATCATGCAAATATTTTTTTTTCTATTTATTGACCAAGGGCTTGTCTACATGGAGGGAATCAAGAGGGTTAATGTGTGGCTTTGTGCTGAGCATCAGATTACACAGCATGCACATGCCCCAGCATCAGTGGATTCTCTGCTGATGCATATCAATGCATACAGATGGCAACAGTTTGCTGTAAACCAAGGGTTGGCATTTCCATGCTTAGCTGCTGAGCAGTGTGCAATCTGGGACTTTTCTTGTTGCCTTGCAGAAACCAAGCAAACATTTAAAAAAAAAAACTCTCATGATTCATCTGTCTTTGCCTTTACTTCCTTTATGGGCAGGCTTCTGCCACTTTTGAACTGCTGCCAGCCAGCATGGAGCCAACAATGCCCCATACTGCTATGCGGGTAGCATTTCACCATTCAAAGCTGGATCAGTTCAGCTTGGGACTGTGTCTACCACACCACTGAGCACGTGATGTGGCAGCAAGAGCAGCTCCTCCAGCAACAGGAGTGACCTCAGTGAGGGTGTAACTGTGATGCAGATGACTATGAAGAGAAAGACACTAACCAACTATCAGTGGAGGACCTGTTCTTTGAGCAGCTACGCAGCATGCAATGTGGGTTTTGGGCTCAGGAAATCAATATATTGGTGGGAACAGCTTGTTCTGCAGACTTGCAACCACCACCAGTGATGAGAGAATTTCAAGATGGGAAAGGCAATCTTTTGTGAGATACATGCAGAACAAATTCTGGCTCTACAGTGGTAGCGTGCCAACAGGCAGTGTCCCATACGAGTGGAGAGGAAGACTGAGGGTCGCCATTGCCATCTGGAAGCTGGCCACCAGTGAATGCTACTAGTCTGTTGAATCTATTCAGCATTGTGTACAATTGTGTGTGATGCCAGGGAAGAGGTGTTGCTCAGGAGGTTATTGGTGGTTTCACATGCATGGCATTCTTTAACTGTACAGAATTGGGCAACTGATGGGATTCATGAGCCTCTTCTTTGCCCCATATTGGGACTCAAGGATATTTTTCCATAGTACTTCTAAAGGCTTGACAACCATGTGGCAGGGTTACAGACATAAATGCAGTGTGATTTAGAAGGGTCCACAGTTCTAAGATCCTTTGCCCCTGGGAACACAACAGACATGAATGATATGGACATTGCTCCTTTCTTACCTTTTGCTGCCCTGGTTAATGAAATCATTCCCAGGCCACTCGGACATAAGAAAGGAAGGAACTGTTTACTCACCACCTTAGCAGCAGCAGAATGTGTCTTTGGTTGTATGAAAGGCCTATGGTGCTGTTTGCAGACTAGGTTGGAAGCAGCAGAAAGAAAACATTGCCTGCTGCCCGAAGAGTAACTATGCTGTATGCTATATGCTGTAAAAAGGCCTTTTGGCTTTATATTGCCACCAGGAGTTGCATCTACATCTGTCTCTTTCATACTGTCTTTGACTAATGCACTGTTTTCTTTGGCAGTTGGCTGATGTCCTTTACTATTGCAACCATCTCACAGAAAGCTCGTCGTCAGTTTCACTCTCAGCTCCTGCCTTCTTGTTAAGCATTTTTCAAGGTGTTGGGGGATTCTGTATTACTATCCATAAACATTTACACGGGAATTTTCCCTTTTCTCCCTCTCAGATTTGTGTGAGGGCTTGACCAGTGTGAGTACATTGCAGTTCGCAGCATTAAAAAAAAAAAAAAAAAACCCAAAGCAGTTATTGTTCACCTTCAAGGAAGGCTTTGGTAGCTACTTTTTTTAAACACTTGTCTTCTTTTACCTCTCTGGGATTCTTTCCAGCTTTGGGGGAACCTTGGAGTGGTGTTTCGGTTGGAATTTTTCTCTGTGCGGTATATTTGTGTGGCTTTCCCATTGTTTCTTGGAGGGTGGTGCTGGATGGGGACAGGCTTGGGAATTAATTTCCCTGTCTAATTTTGCTGTGCCTTTTGAAGAGATTATGTGGTGTCAGAAGGTTAGCTGGGTGAAACTGGGGTGAGCTATATAATAATATACTAATACACTCTTTTAGATTGTCCTTACTCTGGATGAGGTTATGCTGAGGTGGGTGACCAGGAGATAGAGAATACCTTTATTCAAAAAGGCAGACAAGTGAGATACTCTATGAAGTTATTCACCAAAATGGTCCCTCTAGACCTACAGGAATGGAAGGGAGCCACTAGCTATACCAGTGAGGATGGTTGTACAACTTTTCCTCGAGTTGCCAACTGTTACTGGGGCTATTCTGGGTGATTTTTCCCCTAACAGGATGTTATGTCATTTTCTTAAAATATTCTATTAAAACCTCCAGGATGGCTTTTAATAGTCACCGGGAGATTGATGCTGATTCTGGGAGACTCCAGGCCAATACTGAAGTACTGGCAACCTTTGCTCTTCCTCAAACTCAGAACAAACACTGAGCCATTGCTCAGACATCTCCCCTTCAGGCATGTTGGAAGTGAAAGAAAAACAGACAAAGTACTGCAATGACTGCCTGAAGCCTTCACTGTTACCAGCTGAGGGAAGAGGAAATGAAGATCACAGCATGGGCATGTTTCTTCTATAGCTTAGGCCTGAAATTGGCCAGTCACTGGAGCTTTAGATGAGACAGAGGCCTGGCCAGGGCAGGCATCATTTTGAAAGGTTTCAGGGCGGGGAAGGGTAATGGACAATGTTGGTCTAGGAAAGCAGGCAGGCAGGGACAGTGGGGTTATCAACAGTCACGGGCATGGGGTGCCCAGACAGAAGCTAGCATGGCTGTATAGCATCAATTATTAAAAATAATTAAAAAACCCTTTTATGCTGAGATTCTCTCCATAGAACCAGACTCAGTCCTGGTCCAAGTGGCTGCCTGAGGACTGAAGTGGATTGCTACAGTGCAGGAATTGGGCTCCTCTTCTGCCTAGACAACATCAGAGTCCTGAACCAATCCTGGCTGTATGGGGAGATATTGATACCTCAATGAACATTGCATGTTATCCGGCGGGGGCAGGAGGGAGAAAGAGAAAGAAGGGAGCCAGCAGGCTCCACCAGCTGCCTGGGCTGAGTGGTCAGGCACCTCTGCACAATCCTGTCCAATTCCTCAAAAAAATTATCAGGTTACGTGTCCCCTGAAGGATTTTTCCAGATGTCCCTCAGGGTAATAAGTGCTCATGAGCTGTTTGCACTTAATCCAGCACTGCTCAATATTCTGGTCATGACCCCTCACAGACATCTGCCGAGCAATGTCCATGTTTATTCTGGTGGCTGGCCACAAGAGTTTCCTGCATTGATGTTTGCAGGTGGTTGTTAGATTCAGGGTCTCGCTGAAGCCATGTGGCTGCTTGAGGCCTTTTCTGGAGTATTATCACAGGTACAGTATTATGATAAACTGGAACCTAGGAGTGAACAAACAATCTGGAGCTGTGCCAGCATATAAATGGTGGACTGGACACCTGGTCAGCTTGCCCGAGAGCTGGGGAGGTCACACAGGTAAACAAAAAAGTCAGTAATGGTCACCTACAAAGCTGAGTAAGACAGCTGTTGAAGGGCTGCCAAAATAATTTGCAGTATCATTGCTTACACACAAACGATAGGCTGGACTAACTTGCTTCACAGAAAAGTTCATTTTGAAAAAAAGATTGCAGAGTTCACAATAGAGAATCAGTGTACTACAGCGGTGCATAGCATGCGTACACAAGCAATTTCAGAGTGGATTAACTTCAAAAGATGGATTAAATTTCCCATGTAGACAAGCCCTAAAACTTCCTAAGACACACTTTTGGGGGACAAATGTACACCTGAAACGAGGCCCTAGCAGTAACACTGGCAATCAAGCTGTCCCCACAGGTCTGCCAAATAGACCTAATTTTGGCCTGCAACTATTCTAGTCCTCTCTTTTTTCCCCCCTCGAGTACTATATGGAAAATTGTGCAGGAGTTTTATAATGTAAACAAGTATCCACTAGAAACTGTGTTGGTAGTCTGAAATTTCATGTTATGTCTGACCTCTGCAGCCAGATCTGAAATCAGATGGTCAGAGGGGAACAATTAGTCACATTTTAAATTTAGAGTTAGATTTTTCAAAATATGGTCATTTGTGAAATATTGTCCCTCCTCTCCATTGTCTATTTCTCCAGCAAAGCTCAATAATTCTTGTTGACACTGTTGGTAGAATAAATTAGAATATTAATACTCTAACATCTGTTTCTGCTTTGCTTTATGTAGTAATAGTAACAACTTACATTCAGTGCATATATTACACACAAGTTATTTTACATTTACTTGGCCAGAAATTGATATCAAAGTATTTGCAGCTGTACTGTAGTGAAATCCTACAATAACACCATATGTAATTTTTGAAGTTATTTCCTGTTTTTTTAGAACCATGAAATAATATGATCCTCTTCAGTCAATACTAACAGCGATAACCTGTTTTGTTATTCCCATGAACAATGGTTAGAAACCCTAATAAATGCATTTACGTACTCACAGCACCTTCAGAGGATTTTGATGCACTTTACAAACATAAGTTCCGCAATAGTTCTGTGAGGTAAAGTAAGAGCTCTTATTTCCATTTTAGAGGGATAAACTGAAGCACAAAGGGTACGTCTACACTTGCTCCCTAGTTTGAGCTAGGGATGCAAATGTAGCCGACCAAAATTGCTTATGAAGTGGGGATTTAAATATCCCACGCTTCATTAGCATAATCTCTACCATGCATTATTCTGCTCGCCAGCTGATTTGAACCAGGAAGTGCACTCCAGGACACGTTAGTTCGAATCAAGCCCCTCGGTTCGAACTAACATTTCTCCTCATTTTTTGAGGAGGTTTGATTTGAACTAACATGTCCTGGAGTGCACTTCCTGGTTCAAGTCAGCTGGAGAGCAGAACAACATTAATGAAGCACAGGATATTTAAATCTCTGCTTCATTAGCAATTTCGGTCAGCTACATTTGCATCCCTACGTCAAACTAGGGAGCAAGTGTAGACATACCCAAAGAGATTAAGTAATTTGTCTAGTAAGTCTGGAAAGAAGCCTGTGGCAACAGCAGGACATTTGATCAATATATCTTAGAAGAGCCTAACAAATAGGAATAGAATCTGAGTTTCATCCTCTAACCATAAAGCCCACCAAATAAACACTTGATAGTATCAGTAGAAATCCAGGTCCCCTAACAAGTTTACAATATGAGCAGTGATTATCTAGCTAGGATATGGGTCTTATAAACTGTTAATCCTTCTAAAACACTGTGTTGGCATATTTTTAAAAAGAAGCATTTGTGATGGGGCTGGAATTATAAAACACTGAATGTTTCTAAAAAGAATCTCCTTATAAAAATTACAAGAGTAGATAATTGAATCTTGTAGTTGCTTTACTTTCACATTTGTTCCTTTTGGATATATGATTCCACAGGACTAGAGCAACTGAGTATAACATTAGAAGTGCAGACTGAGTCTTAATCCCTGCTTTAGCTAGAATGATACAGAATCTTATATTTTATTTCTACTAGTTTGTCTGTGTTGGTGACAGCCCTTATAGAATGAAAGCTTTTGCTCAGCTCATGCACAATGAACTTGGACTTGAAGGAGATGGGAAAGACTTGAAAGATATTTGTGCTGGGACAGATCGGTACTCTATGTACAAGGATGGTCCAGTGCTCTGTCAGTGTAAGTATTTTCCAGTGTACACAAAACATTTCCATTTTCAGTCCAGCAATAGCTGAAGAATTTAGCACTCTGCGTGTATTTCTTTTTTAAATGTTTCATGTGAAGTTAGAGCTTCTGAAAGCTGCTGGACTGAGAGCCCAGGACACTGAATAGGTACAATATGGGGAACTGCATTGCAGCAACATCCATAGTACGCTGACCTAGCGGAATTGCCTGTTGAAGTGAGAAGCTAATTGAGTATTTATATCCTTCATTTCAAGGCCTCATTGTTGAAACTGCCAACAATGGTGTCAGTTATGGTGGTAATTTTATGCACTGATAACTGAATAACCTATCAAGTTAATTTCATGTTGGCTGTCAAAAAGCCATGAGGTTGTAATAAATTCTATGAATCACTGACCTGAGCTAGATTCAAATCTGTGTCCTAGAGCTAAAAGGTTCCTATCTCCCAAGCCATAAAGACCCGGCTTTCAACTCATAGGAAAGTTTTGGGTTCTTCAAAAGGGCTAACAGCTAACACTGTTACATTATTCTCTATTTGCTATTTCCTAGAGGTAGTGCATTTAGAAACAACAGTATAGGTCAACAAGCCAGCAACTTGCCAGATGGTTTAAACACAGTGATTACCACAGGGCAGTTTTCTTCCATCACATCTCTTAGACTTGGTCTATGCTTACAACTTAGATCGACAGAGCTATGGTGATCAGAAGTGTGAAAAATTCACACCCCGAGACCTGGTGTAGACCTAGCTTGTGTTAACTAAGTTGGCTGTGCCTGGGGAGATGGAGTTCCTACAGCAACTGTAAAACCCCTTCTGTCATAGTAGTTTGTTTAGCTATGGGGTACTATTGGCACAGCTATGGCACTATAGCTGTGCCACTGTAGTGCATATAGACATGGCCTTATTGTCAGTTTGTCACAAGCTGGAAATATCAACAAAACTACTCCTAGTCTCTTTGCATTTCTCTTGTGTCCACCATCAGAGGATCCAAAAGGTGCTAACTGATTAAAACGTCTCAATATTCTGAGGTAGTAAAGTATAATTATCCTCCTTTTACAGTGAGACCAAGGCATAGAGGTTAAGTACCTTACCAGCTCCCTAGAGATGCTCTGTGCTTTTATTTCATAATGGACTAATCCAGTGGCAAATTTTTCCTCTTACCCTCAAAAAAATTACAGCTATTAACACTAATAAAAGCTTTTAGTCATGCTAAAAAGCTACATTTTAAACTTTAATAAGCCTTGTGAAAATCTACTGTTGCTTGATTTCTTTAGGTTTCTATGAACATGTTCCCTTACTTTCAATACATGGACTAGCGCACATCCTCACATTTGCACATGAATTTTCCTTTTACTTTTCCACACTTCTAGTACACATGTAAACAAAAGATTAATAGGCATGGAGCCTGCTCCTGCTCCCAGAGTTGCCAGTGGGAGTTTTGTCAAGGACTTCAATAGTAGTTGGATCAGAACCAAGAATGATGATTTATATTAAAAAAATATTCTTACATTTCAGTCACTCTGCAATATTTCTTGGCATCCTGCCTATTCAGTTTGCAGGTTCCTGTGTTACAACAGAAAGAGGGCTCATTTTGCTGAGCTCACCAACCTTAAAGTTCAAGAGATCAAATAGAGTCACATCATGCACAAACTATGAAGTTTAGCTGAAAATATTACAATCAACTACTAAAAGCCTGATGGCAATCTTATTTTGCTATTATTGTTTATGTCTACAATATGTTTGGCAACACATAAAATCTTAATCCTGCAATCACATGCACTTTACTCATCTAAGTAATCCTAACTTTACCCACATGAGAAGTTAAGGAGATCACTGAGCCTAGAACACAGACGGCACTGGGAAAAACAAAAGAGGAAATAATGATATTTTTATTACTGCTCAGTCTATAAATTCAGTGAAAATTGTGACATTATCAGGATACTATGTCATATTTTAGCAAGATGCAAACAGGCTCAAACACTAGGTGTATTTGTGAGATTTCTGCCTTGGCTATTTTTCATAAGAATATTTTTTTCACAGCACTAACAAGGAACTTAGGCAGTGGTGCATGAATAATAAGAATATAAAAGTATGATAACACAAAATGCAATAAAATTAATAAAATCATCTTCCTATAACAAAGAAAGAGAGAGAGATGGGGACACACTGCACAGTGATGTTGCCATTGCACCAAAATAGATCCTACCTCTCTAGAAACTCATGCCTCTGGGTTTTTGAAAGAAAAATTAATTTGCTGACAAGACAAATTTAGGGAAAAGGCATCCTCCCTGGACTGACTGTAGGCACAGGAGATGAAAGTACAGTAAAACTCCGATGGTCCGGCACCATCGGGAACCCGGAAGTGCTCCGGGCAGCCGGACCATTGGAGCTGCTCTGCCCCCAGCTTCCTCAATTCAGCCGCTGCTAAAACTGACCAGCGGCTGAATCGGGGAAACTGGGGGCAGAGCAGCTGGAGTGCTGCCAGGTTGGTCCAGCAGCGCCGCTCCTAGGCGATACTGGACCAACCCGGCAGCACCCCAGCTGCTCTGCCCCAGGTATCCCCAAGTCAGCCACTGCTGAAACTGACCAGCGGCTGATTCCAGGAAGCCCGAGGTAGAACAGCTCTGCCTCAGGCTTCCTGAAGTCAGCTGCTGATCAGTTTCAGCAGCGGCTGAATCGGGGACGCCTGCAGCAGAGCAGCTGGAGTGCTGCCAGGTTGGTCCGGTAGCGTCCACCCTTGGCGCTGCGAGACCAACCCAGCAGCACCCCAGCTGCTCTTGGGGATGCCTGGAGCAGAGCAGCTGGGGTGCTGCTGGGTTGGTCTCGCAGCGCCAAGGGTGGACGCTACCGGACCAACCTGGCAGCACTCCAGCTGCTCTGCTGCAGGCGTCCCCGATTCAGCCGCTGCTGAAACTGACCAGCAGCGGCTGAATCAGGGATGCCTGGGGCAGAGCTGGACTATCGGAAGGGGGGGGGCTATGAGGGGTCTGGGGCCAGACCGCTCATATTCCCCCCTTCCGATAGTCTGGCATATCTGATAATCCGGCACCCCCTGGGTCCTAACGGTGCCAGATTATCGGAATTTTACTGTAGTAGGAAACTGCAAAGAAAGACCCAAGGCAGCAAGTCTCAGGCTATTTCAAAATAAGCTGTTCTGAAATAGCTTATTTTGAAATAGCACGTCTACACTGCAGGGAAGCCTCAAAATTAGTCCGAGGCAGACTTCCCTAATGTAGACGTGTTACCTCAATTTAGAGTCCCAGGAGGAATAACTTAGAATGGTCCTGGTAAGGGGCTATTTCAAAATATCTGTTTTGAAATAGGTGTTATTCTTTGTAGAATGAGGTTTACAGAAGTCAGAATAAGCCATCTGTTATTTTGAAGTTATTTCAAAATAATGGAATTGCTGTGTAGACATTCACATAGCTATTTCGGAATGACAGCCATTATTCTGAAATAATTTTGCTGTGTAGACACACCCTCAGCATGAGGTCAACTGACTTGGGCTTCTCTACAAGGCTAAAAATAGACCTATGTAGACATTGAGGGCATGTCTACACTGCAGGGTTTTGTGTTTTTTTTGGAAAAACAGCCATTTTTCTGAAAAATACTTCACTTATGTCCACACTGCAATCGTGTTTTCGAAATAAAGTTAAAAGAACAGAGGGGTTTTTCTGATATTTACATTTCTTTGATATTACTATTGCACCTATGAGCCCTAGTCAGGGAACAGACCCTATTGTGCTCAATATAACCACAGACCAGCAAGACAGTCCCTGCCCCAATTGGCCTACAATCTCAAAATAAGATGAAATAAAGAAAAAGTGTTGGTCACCATGCTAGGCAGTAGCCATTTTGTAGGAGAGTTTTGAGGAGGAATTTGAAAGTGGATAAAGAGGTAGCTTTGTAGAAGTTTTCAGGGAGCTGCTCCCAAGCATGGCAAAACAAGACTGAGACCAAAGAGCTTTCTACATGGCATCATACACTTGGAGAAAAACGCCCATGGGAACTATTGCTTAGCCTGACACCATTCTTGTGAGCTCCATTTATATGCTGTCCAGTTAGAGGTATGTGGATTGAGAGCACAGTAGATACACAGAGAACCATCAGCAGGATAACCTTGCCGAGTGAGATCAGAGAGAGTAGTTCAGAGGAGCTGATGCCACACATGGATACCCCAGTCTATGTAGGCATGATTTAGAGTTTGTTTTGGCCACAGAAATATCCTGTTGACATCAATGGGAACAGGATACCTTTGGCTATCTAGTAATATTCTGAAGTAATTTTTAAAGTATGTATCAGCTTAAACAAAAATGATAATTAATGATTGTCTTCATTTTCTGTCCTCTCAACAGCAAGGGATGGGTATTGCATAATAGAAATGGAAGTTTCATGAACTAATCAAATTATTATACAATGCAAAATGCTGTGATGTTACTATTATACGCATCGGTACTTCTGGGGGCTTAGGTGAGCGACCAGCTTTGCTACTGCCAGGTGGAAAGGATGTTTAATAAAACACAGCTAAGCAATAGAGCTAATTATTAGGAGCTTTACACTTTTTTTTTCAGGTCTTCAAACATCAAACAACAAGAGATTTTATGTCAGGTCAATGAATATCAAACTTCTAATGGCTGGCTTAGCAGGTTTACATGTTCATAATTCATGATATCTTGAAATCTAATACAACTAAAGAATACTGTTTTCAGATCCAAATATCTGAGAGAAATGTATTCTTATCTGGCAAACTACTCACCCATAAGTGGATACCATGCATGAACAATTTCAGCCGCAGTAGAATAATTTTCACCCACTTAATAGTAATAAAATATAATCAGTTTTTTTGGTAAATCAAGCCCTAAGGTTCTGATCAAGATTGGGGCTCTATTGTGCAGTGTGCTATACAACCATGAATGGAGAGACAGTTCCTGTGTGAGAGAACTTACAGTCTAAGGATGAATGGAAAGACAGGCAAGGAATGGGGACTAAGAAATCTCTCTTATAATGGAAGTGTTCAGTCAATAATAATTATTCCATTAACTTGAAGTTCAGAAACTAGGAATTCAAACCAACTTTCTGAAAGGAATGAGAATAACCATATAATGGAAATAAGGCAGTCCTGATCATTCAAGTCTGGATGCAGACAAAATTTCCATTTCCTCCAATGAGAACACTGAGGGTATGTCTAAACTACATGGCTCCATCGACGGAGCCATGTAGATTTGTTTGTTCGGCAAAGGGAAATTAAGCCGCGATTTAAATAATCGCGGCTTCATTTAAATTTAAATGGCTGCCGCACTGAGCCGACAAACAGCTGATAAGCTGTTTGTCGGCTCAGCGCGCTAGTCTGGACGCTCCCCTGCCAACATGAAAGCCCTTTATCGACCTCCCTGGTAAACCTCATCCTACGAGGCATAACGGGGAGGTCAATAAAGGGCTTTCAGGTCAGCTGTTTGTTGGCTCAGACCGGCAGCCATTTAAATTTAAATGAAGCCGTGATTATTTAAATCGCGGCTTCATTTCCCTTTGCCGATCAGCCTAATCTACATGGTTCCATCGATGGAGCCATGTAGTTTAGACACACCCTGACTGTATAAACCCTTGAGGATTAAATCCAAATTGAGGAGCACTGTAAAGTACTTTAACTAATCTAAGGTCATTTGGAATATCATGGCAGAAGTGGGACAAAATGCTGATATTCTGCTCAAAATGCCCAAAGCCCATGAGAAATCAGATAAACAAGAATCTCCTTTAGCTTTTAGCAGTACAAGGCCTAAGATACAGTTTTTTGGGGGGAAGGGTGGGGAGAGTTAGAAATCAATTTAAGTATATGCCAATCTTTTCACCCTGAGCAAATGTACATTAAACATAGACAAATCATATATAGAAACCAATAGTTATACATAAACTTTCCTTCCCCTATCTGGGTTCAAAGTAACAAATAAATAGCCTATGGCCCACATACCCACTTTGTAACCCTTCATATGCATTTACGGAGTTTTACTTTGTATATATTTGAATGGTCCTCTCATATTTTGCCAATAAACATTCATATTTATTAAGATTTTACTGTAATAAATCTACTATATATTTGAATTTGTCTGTCTGTCTAAGCAGTCCTCCTATGGTAAGAGCGAAGATCACCAAATTCAGAATGCAGCTTCCTCTTAGAACACAAAGCAAGGCCAGGGTTTGTGCCAGGACAATGGGATGTGCCTCAAATGTGATCTCTTATAAAATGAAAAGGGAGGTATCTGCTAGCAGGGACACTTATATTGTATAATGACCACAGGGGGGTAACAAGAGCTAGAGATGGGGACCAGGACTTAGGACAAATATAACCTCATTGGGGCAGCAGAGGGCAGCGGTGGAGAAGGACAGCTATCTATTATATGAGAGAGCTAGTCTGTTTGTGTGTCTGTCTGCGTGTTCATGTATTCCTCCCCCAGCTGTGCCTGATGGAGCTGCAGTGGCAATGGACAGGCACTTCTCACCTGGCCCCAAGTTTCTGTGGCGAGAGAGGGCTAGGTAGTCCTCTCCTCAGGGAATCCTGCATACTGAACCCCTCACCTCCAGCCCCACCCCAGATCAATGATTTAAAAAGAAGAAAAATTTCAAATTAAGGACATGAGCAACACCAAGTAACTCTTTTCTACTTTGGTTAGTGCCATATGATATTTATAGATTATAATTTAATTTATCTCCATTCCTCACTTCTGTAGGCATTGAACCTGGAACTATTGTAATAACACACACTGCAGTGGATTCATTTTTTAAGGCTCGCTTTGAACAGGTGATACTGGATAATGTAGTTGTACGAAGCACAGAACTGGATAAGGACCTTGCTGAGGAGCTACTGAACTGCAACCATGAGATTCAGAAATTCCCAGCTCTTAATGGGCATACTATGGGTACCTATGACTTTTGAAGGTGAGGAGTATCACTAATTTTCTATTCTTGGGGGGAGGGAAAAAACCCACCATAAAACTAGATCCTGAAACCCTTGCTCAGGCAAAATGACCAGTGCAATCAGTAGGAGAGTTGCCTTTGTATGTACTGAGTAAAAAATACGGAAGGACTTCAGGATTTGATTAAGATAACATATATTTGAGACTTGCTTACAGGTCAGAAATGAAACTACTTTCATAATATGTCATATCAATAACAGAACCATTAACCATTGTGTAATTGGCCTATATTGTATCTGCCACTTAGTCAAATTTTGTAATAAAACACATCGGCAAAGACACTATTATTATAACCATGGCAGTGAATCAACCTTACAATTCATTCTGGATAGCACTGATTCCCTTAGGAAATTATAGGATTCCCTGGATGGCACTTCCTGCTGTCCCTTAGCCATACCAAGCCAGAGAAACTAGAATATATTCAGGGAATCTCTGAAAGCAACAGGCACATAACATTAAGCAGTTACAGTAAATGGCCCCTTGTCTATAATCTTAACATAATTTTAACAGATGGGTTATACTAAGTTACTTCCTATAACTAAGTTACTTCCTATAACAGGATTATAGCTTCAGACTTACCAAACAGAAGAAAAATATCAGTAAGTGTGTGGCATTTGTGTAAATAAACCTTAGTTCCCTAGCAATATCCTGGAACCGTTTCCTTTACAAAATTAAATGTTGATTGCATAGTGGATGAAACAGAATAAATGGACAATTAATAATTGGATGACTATTTATAAACCTTTGTCTCTGCTTGCAAATGCAGCCATTTGTATGTGGCTAAAAGCCATGTTTCACTTAAATAAAAAGCCATGTAAGAGGATTAACAGTAGGAACAACAATAAAATTAAAAGGTCTGTGCAAGTTAGTAAAGCAATAGGTGTACATTTGCCTTAGCTGAGGACATAACACCCAAGTGAGAAATACCAGCACAAATAAAGGATTCATTCTTTGAAGATCAAAATCCAATTAGAAAATACTAGTAAAAACAATCAGTGAAGTTAGCAAGATAGGTCACTCACCAGGAGCTGTAGTTCTGAGTCAATTGCCTCGGTAAAGCCACACTTGTAGAGATATGCACGTGTCTCTTGTATACAACCAGAACTCACTAAACGAATTGTGTCCACCGTTGTTATACACATGCTCCTGCACAGATCCAGACTTTCAGAAGCACAGATCCAGACTTCCAGAACCAAAGACCTATAAAGAGCTTCAATACTTTCTACCTCAAATCACTTCCTTTTCCTGCTTATTCAACAAACATCCAAAGTCTCAAAAGTGGGAGAGGTGACTGGGCAATATGGATTCAATAACTAGTAAGCAGCTTTTTTTGGTCCTTTGATAATTACCCCACTCAGAGATTAGTTAATAAGAAACCCTTCTAAAGGAATTTTAACTGAGATAATGACTGCAAGAACTACTCTCTTTCATTAGATATCAGACCTACAGGCAAATTCAAGAGAATGGTACCACAAAGGTATGTTAATTGAGCTCCAGGTTTGAGTCTTACTCATCTCTGTTACAGACTTTTCCAAGCAACTGTGTAGAGGCTGTTTAAGGTCTACTAGAAAGTGTTCTGGGACCTGGTCAGCAGTAGAAAAGTCAGCATAACTATGTTGCTCAGAGGTGTGAAAAATCTATTACCCTAAATGATGGAGTTAGGCCAACCCTAAATGATGGAGTTAGGCCAACCTAAGTGCCTAGTAGAAAGTGCAGGGTCAGTGGAAGAATTCTGTTGACCTGGCTACTGCCTCTTGGGGAGGTGGATACTGACATAGATGGGTGAATCCATCTCATTGGTGCAGGTGCTGTCTACACTGAAGTGCTACAGTTGAAGCAGTGCTGCTATACAGTTTTAAGTATAGCCAAACTTAAGACCTTCAGTTAAAAACCATACATAAAGTCACAGCAACTTGAACGCAATGAATGATTTACTTATTTTCTAAGCAAAATTTATCAGTCCTCTGGACTGGTCACCATCTGCTGCAAATAACCTATGGGATAACAATAACTAAAAGCATTTTGAACATAAATATCTAGTCTCCCCTTCTAAACTAGGGAGATTAGGGACCATACTGCACTTGCAAATGAAGCCCGGGATTTGAATTTCCCGGGCTTCATTTGCATAAGCTGGCCGGCGCCATTTTTAAATGCCGGCTTGTTCGAACCCTGTGCCGCGCGGCTACATGTGGCACGGGCTAGATAGTGCGGAATGGCTTGCTAGTTCGAACTATCTAGCCCGTGCCACATGTAGCCGCGCGGCACAGGGTTCGAACAAGCCGGCATTTAAAAATGGCGCCGGCCAGCTTATGCAAATGAAGCCCGGGAAATTCAAATCCCGGGCTTCATTTGCAAGTGCAGTATGCCTACATTACCCCGCTAGTTCGAACTAGAGGGGTAGTGTAGACATACCCTGATAGACTGATAGATGGAGTGTCTTAAACTACTTTGATTTTCCTATAATTACCCATCTGCCTTTTATAAAACGAGTTCAACTTTAGATTAAAAGGTCTTTTCCATCTCCCTTGTCTCTACAAATTTAGGGGCATGTGTACCTAAATTTCTTAATCCTTTTCTAAAGAAACCTGGTATTTTGTGGATTTCATCTGCAAGAGACTCACAGAATTATGCCAATTTACATGCTGACAATCTGCCACCACATCTGTATGCACGTGTGGTTTTTTGGTCTTGCTTTTGTTAAAACTTCTATAGCGAACTCAGTTGTATTTTGTTATACTAGATTATCTTTAACAATACATGACAAATGCAATAAGAAATAAATTATTTTAATAGTGCCAATTAAATTATTTGATGCAGTTTTAAGTGAAATTTAGACAAAATTTGAACTTTGAAGGAAATTGTCTGAGATGCCAGTCAGTTTTGCTAGGACTGTAAGAAAGAGTGAAAGTAGCTTACATTTTTTACTGGTACCGTTGTATTGCCCCATATTGGGGCTCAGGGCACAAGGTTTGGGGGTATGCAGTATGACAGTACCTATAAGAAATTTAAGTGTCCTGGAGCACATCTCTGGGCAGCAATTTAAGGTGTATGAGGGGAGTGTAGAAGGGCAAGGAAACCCTTTTGAGAGGAAGAAGGGCTCAAGACCCCACCTCATTCCTACTGATGTTACTTGCTCTTCCCCATTCCATCACTGTAAGGGAGTGAGGAGAAAACTCAGTGTAGATCACACATTTCTCTGCTTGCTCTCTTCCTCACACTAGCCAGGAAGGAGAGGAATTCAGGGATGCTAGGTGCTTTTCTCTCGCTCCCCAACAGCGATGAAGGGGAACAGCAAGCAACAAGAAACACCAGTAGGAATGGGGCGGGCAACCTCCCTTAGTCCCTTGCCCTCCCTAAAAGGTGCCCCAAGCCAGCCCTTTTGACCTGCCTGCTGCTTACCACCACAGCCTGCAGGAGAGCCTCAGGAGCTTGGCTGGGAGCACATAGCCTCCTCCTGCTGGAGAGTGCCCCAGAAAGCTCTTACCAGAGCAACCCATTGCGGTTCACTGCCTTACTTTTACCTGTGACTGTAAAACCATATTTTAGAAAATGGATGAGCACTCAGGTTTTTCTTTCCTTCCAGGGACAATTAGATGGAGCATTATGTTTTTTCCAAAGAAAAAAGTTGGAGTACTTGAAAAGAGCTTATGATGGTGGTGTTAGAAATATTGAAATGGAATCAACAGTATTTGCTGCTATATGTGGACTTTGTGGTCTTAAAGGTAAGGGTTCTTGTCACAGGCCATTTCCTTTTCATATTTGTTCTCACACACTTTTGCACTTCCTAAAGTTATATGAATATCGTCAGCTCGAGGATTTATACAATGTGAAAACTGAAAATGCATTCCAAACTTCTTTCATTATAAAGTATAGAAACACTTTTTATCCAGTGACTTCAAAAATGCTTACCTGAAACTGCTTGTTTTGAAGTCCAAGGCATATTAAAAACAACTGTCTTGGCAAAATCCAAGTTTTACTCAGTCCAGCTCTGAAAAGTTTCCTGGCAATGCCTCCGTCTCTGGTTTTCTTTTACTGGATTCCAAGATCTCTCATCTTATCCTAACATATTGTGGTCCATTTTTTCAGTGCAGTGTGATGAATGAATTTGCCAGGCAACCTCGGCCAACTGAGCTTCGAAGGAGCTCAGAATAAAGCTTAATGATTTCAGTTGAAGCACTGCAAAGGGAGGCCCATTGTGATGCGATAGCCTCTGTTTCTCCAGAACAGCGGCTCCTCAATTCTAGGAAGTGCAACATACACTTTTCCAGAGAGATATATTGAGCCCTTCATTTAATTTAAGTCTCCCAATAACCCTGAATTACCTGCGTAGGCCTAGGAACATAATGCTTCACTATAGCAAATACCATGCATATTTGGTATATTGTGAGTTAATTAGAAGAGTGGTTTTGTTTTTCTTGTAGCTGCTGTTGTGTGGGGGGCACTCCTTAACTGACTTTAAGGTGACCAGATCAAGGCATCCCATGAAGTTCTAGTAGAATATCAGCGATGGCCTCAGCAGTGGATCTCAATTTTTATCAAGAAGCGTCTTGGGTTATATAACCTAATGGAATTACTGGATAATGCCATTTTCCTGAATCACTAAGGAAAAATTATACCCTGCCAGTATACAAAATGAATGCCTTCTGTATTTATCTCTGTATATTGATACATATAGGAAGACATAAATAGAGTTGCTGTATGATGAATTCATATATAAATGAAACTGTTTATAATGATGCAGAATGGAAATTCCAAATTGTTTCAATCCATAATTAGTGAAAATTCTGAAGCCAGTTACAAGTATAGTCATTTTGTCCTATAAGGGTATTTTACAGCATACACATTCTTATAAAATTTATGTTTATCTATAAAAGATACACTGTCCACATCAGATCCCTCTACAGATATAAAAACAGAGGAATGTAATCAGGGCTGGCCCACAACATTTTGGCACCTGACCTGGAGAGCTCAAATGATGCCCCCATACCTCCTCGCTTGGGCCAAAACTTTGAAAAGTCTCAATTCTCTGGGTCCTAGTGCCCCCCTCTCCACACACACATACAGTATAGCACCGGAGGCAGCCAGCTCAATTCACCTGGTAAGGCCAGCCCTGAATGGAATCACAAGTAGTCAGGTGGGACTCACTGTACCTGATCTATACGGTGTTGACCCATATACTCTTTCAGCAGCTTCTATGGGTGTTCAGTACCTCTGAACATCTGCCCAGTAGTGTTCCAGAATCCAATCCTACCTAGGACTGGTTTTGTTTAAATTTTACATATTTATACATCTGAGGAAGGGTGTAACATGGAAACCATGTAAGTATTACTAGAATACAAAAGTGTAAGCCACAAAAATACTTCTTATCGCAAAAATGACATGTTTCTAATGGTGGAGTGATTACCTAGAAAGACACCTGTTTTGAGCTTGGCTTAAAACCAAAACAAGGTAAACTCAAACCAAAGTAAATCAGCATTTGTGGCATTATTGTTCTTCATTGAGTTTCAGGAAATACAGGTCAGAGGCAGCTTATAAAGAGAGAATACATATTAGTGATCCAAATTGAATTTAAGTGTAAATTACTAAAAGTACTATCTCTCCATATGTATTTGCTAATCAGCACCTAGAAATACAAATCATCATCTCAGGTGTGTAAATGGCTAAAAGGTTCTTTGTGGTTTGGATATTTTATTTAACTTATGGTCTAATCCAGAGGCCACTGACTTGACTTTCGCATGACTTCAGTGGGCTTTGACTCAGGCCCTGTTTTTATGATCCATTTTAAGTCTTGTTTGCGATGAATTTTGAAAATCTTACAATCTTGTAATAATTTATAATTGTAATGTTATTTTAAATATTTATAAACTTAATATATCACATTAAGTAGAGAACACGTCTGCAAAATGACCACTTTTTTAGCATTTAAATATAAAACTAAATCAGAAGAAACTGTTACAAAAATCTTTTTCATGGGCTGGCTTACACCCACAATATGTATGGCCAACATTCATTAAATACAGGAGAATCCCAATTTTATGAGCTAATTGGAGATTAAAGACTTCATGGAATCAAAAAATTCACCACAATGAACATCCTTAAAATACAGCCAGTATGGTGCATTCATTACAGCTTGGTGCACTGCACTGCTTTCCCCTGGTCCGTCAAACCACTGCAAACCAATTGCCGATACACTGAAGATACCAGAATGTGAAACTAGGTCAACCTGTTCTTCACGGACATCACTTTAGTTATGTGAATTTCCCCTGTTCCATCAATAAAAGCGTTCTTAAGATTGATGTTCATAACACTAAGATCATACAGCTGTTGAAGTAAAAAACAAAACAAAAAACCCAAAACAACCCACAGTAAGTCCAGAAAATAATACCTTTAAAAATCTGTTTAATGCATTTAAGCTCTGATACTCCTGTCACCTATGCTATTTTACACTGGGTTCCTGTAATTATTTCTGTTTTTCACTGGCATGTGAAAGGAATCAGGCCTCAGGTACAATTTGAATTGAAGTCTTCCATTTAATTATAGAACAGGTATTGCACAGGCTCTCCACCCCCACATAACCTCATTACTAGTATGCCTCAGCCTGAGCTGGAGGTCTCACCTGTAAGAGTAATGGGCAGTTCAAGTTTCATGTCAAACCGATACCTCTAAACCCCTAAGAAGCAATGTACTCGAGGGATCTGTACTGGGTCCTGGGCTCTTCATGATCTGGAAAAAGGGGTTATGGCAAGACTGGGCTAAGCTCCCTGGGTTCTGCTCTTCCTGGCAGGGTCTTTGCATGTGCCTCAGAGGCTTGCAGCGTCCCTACCACTGCCGAGAAGGCAAGGGTATCCCGCTCCAAGAGCCCTCTTCATCATTGGCCAGGCCATGGTTTTAGAAGTCAGTCCCTTCAATACTCCGAGGGTACCCCTTTCCTTATTGGCAGCCCACCAGCTAGGAAGAGAGCTGGGGGGAAACCTTCACCCACTCACTTGCTCCAGATTCCGGTCCAGAGCCCTAAGGCTTGACCCTTGCACTACTGAGGAGAAGCCCCTCCCTGGGCCACTTCCCCAACCACTCTTTGGGTACCTCGTCCCTGGTGTCTTGGAACAGGCCCTGTTGGCATGTAGCCTTCTGGGTTTGTCTTCTGCCTCTCCTCGCCTCTCCTTTGGTCCATCCCTTTTCTCTTTCCCCCTGCCTTGCCTGAGGGAAGGTTTTTATGGTGTGCCCAGAAGCCTTAACTGGTGGCAGGTGTTGTAATCAGCCTTCCCCCCAGGCTGACTCCAGATGGGCTTCAGGTGTCCTAATGGCTGGGCTGCAGTCGCTGAAAGCCAACTCAGGGAACATAAACCCACATACCCAACTCCTCAGGTGCATCGAGACTGGCAAGATTTTGCGCAGAAGCGACTGCTTTTGCACAAAAACTTGCCAGCTGTCTATACTGGCCGCTTGAATTTGTGCAAGAGAACTGATATTCTAATGTAAGAATTCAGTGCTTCTTGTGCAAATACTTTCATGCTCCTGCTCAGGGATAAGCCTTCTTGAGCAAGAATACTTGTGCGAGTGGGCCAGTGTAGACAGGCACCTTAATTTTTTGCGCATGAAAGCCCGATGGCTAAAATGGCCATCGGAGCTTTCTTGTGCAAAAGCGCATCTATACTGGGCACGGATGATTTTGCGCAAAAGCATTTTTTGCGCAAAAGCATCCGTGCCAATCTAGATGCTCTTTTGTGGAAATACTTTTAACAGAAAAACTTTTCCATTAAAAGTATTTCTGCAAAATCATGCCAGTCTAGACGCAGCCCTCATGTATCTGCCTTCCTCCAGGCTTTTGTAGCTCCCGGCTCTCGGGCTGCCACAGGATAAACAGTAGGATGGCAACATTTGCAGATGATACAAAATTACTCAAAATAGTTAAGTCCAAAGCAGGCTGCAAAGAACTACAAGAGGATCTCACAATGTTGAGCAAGAATATAACTGATGGAATTCATTGTTGATAAAATCAAAGCAATACACACTGGAAAAATATAATCCCAACTATTCAGACAAAATGATGGGGTCTAAATTAGCTGTTACCACTCACAAAAGTGAGCTTGGAATCACTGGTGACAATTTTCTGAAAACATCTGCTCAATGTGCAGCAGCATTAAAAAAAAAAAAAAGCTAATGTCAGGAACCATTAGGAAAGGGATAGATAATAAGACAGAAATTACAAAGCCACTACATTAATCCATGGTATGCCCACATTTTGAATATTCTATGCAACTCTAGTCACCCCATCTCAGAAAAGATATATTGGAATTCAAAAAAGATATAGCGAAAGGCAACAAAAGTGATTAGGGATATGGAACAACTTTCACATGAATAGATATTAAAAAGACTGAGACTGCTTGCAAAATAGATGACTAACAGGGCATATGATGGAAGTTTATAAAATCATGAATGGTGTGAAGAAAACGAAGAAGAAAGTGTTATTTACCCCTTCACATAATGCAAGAACCTTGGATCAACCTATTAAGTTATTAGGCAGCAGTACAAACACGAGGAAGTACTAATACTTCATACCACACATAGTCAACGTGTGGAACTACTTGCCAGGGGATGTTATGAAGGTCAATATTATAAGTGGGTTTAAAGTTCATGTATATAAGGTCTATCAATGGCTATTAGTCATGATGGTCAGAGATGCAACCCCTAGCTCTGGATGTCCCAAGCCTCCAACTGCCAGAAGCTGGCAGTGAATGACTGAAGCTGGGGTTGTCACATCATTCTATTCTAATCATTCTATCTGACACATCTTGCAATGGCCACTGTTGGAAGACAGGATACTGGGTGGGCTGGACCATGGGTCTGATCCAGTATGGCTGCTCTTATGTTCTCTGCTGGGATTGTCAGTAAGGATCCTATAGACAACATTGTACTTAACAGATTGTATAATGTAATTGTACATATCTAATTTCTGCGTATTTTATATGCTGTACTGCAAATCTGAATGTCTTAATTCAAAACTGTTTTAATTAAAAATAATGTCAATTGCAGGAATATTTCTCTGATACTGAAACCTATCCAGCAGGCATTGTGTAGAGAGTACCAACTGATTCTACATAAGCAACAACACCACCACATTAGTTGACTTCAAATATTAGCAATAGACTGAAATCAAACCTGGGTATTTAGGGCTAAGTGGTTTCATATTCCAATACCAATCCCTTAAAAATCCATCAGTTTCCACACAATTAAGGTAACTGTATGGTACCATCAGAGCATTTAGTGAACAATGTTTAAGGTCTTTTTTACAATGTTTTTAAAAATGTGTTTAAATTTGCTGTTAAAGAAAGTGAGATTAATAGCACTTGCTAGAGCGAGGTTTAGTGTGGATCAGTGCTCTTAAGACTTCCTACATCACACTCCCAATTAACTTTTTGATCGATGATACCTTTTGGCTTGATCCTTCTGTCAGAAAAGAGACATAGAGGCTGTGTCTAGACTGCATCCCTTTTCCGTAAAAGGGATGCAAATTAGACACATCGCAATTGCAAAACGAAGCGGGGATTTAAATCCCCCCCGCTTCATTTGCATAAAAATGGCTGCCGCTTTTTTCCGGCTCGG